GAGTTATTATTTGTTTCCAGCTGGCTGATTATAGTGTGGCTAACATCTCTGTAAAACTCTTTCATTCCTTGTCTTTCTTAAAAACTTTGCTAGTTCTGTCTCCTTTTCAAAAATACTAGGGGGAATTTACTGACCACTTCCAGTGTGCCAGGAACACGGATAGGCCCTCTACACTCATGAATGAGTTTTATCCTCCCAACAAGCCCTTTTCTTACCCCTGTTCTGCAGATGAAGAAAGTGAAGCTCAAAGAGATTAACCAGTTCTATCCTGGTTAGTCATCAAGGAAGTGGTTAAAATGGGATTCAATCCCAGAGCAAACAATCTTCACAACTACTCTCGAAAACCTCACTGGAACTCTACATTTTGATTTTGAAAATTTCATGAGAGAAAAAGAAGAGTTGTGTGTGCATACAAAGCAAAAACTGCCCTGAGTATGTTTACATAGCTAAAATTTAGAGATAATTCTGGAAGTCATATACTGCGTCTTGTTATTGCCCTTGATTCCTGCTCAGTCAAGTTACTTTTTTATACAACAGCCATGCTGAGAGTCTATCTACTTTTCTGTTTCTCTTCATTCCTTTCTCCTGAAGAAGTAATTCTCACAGGAAATAACTGCAGACTGGCCCACGAAAATATGGGAAAAGAGGCAGCAAGAGGAGAACAGAGAGGGTCAGCAATACATTTAAAAAGCTATGTTTTGGAAACTCTCTCTTGATTAAAGTGACTAAGTCTCCAGTGAAGTCACCAAAGGGATTTTTTTTTTAATCTCATGGAATGCTTGGTGTGAGTGAACATTTTTGGAAATCAGTGAAGAGCCCAAGCTTCTTATCAAGTTGTCAGAGGGCAAAACAGAGGCAGTAAGAAAGGGCAGAAAGGCACAGGGAAGGACAAGAGAAAGCTCAGGAACCCAACCAAACTCTGAGGGAGAACTTTGGACTCCTGGGTAACTGCAACTGAGCCCACTTTAATCAGATCTGTATTCTTGTAATCAAATTTAAGTCTTCCCCTCTACAGTGGCTAGAATCAAGGATGTTAAACAACTCAACTTCTCTTATTTTGCTACTCTGGTAGTAAGAAAGTAAGTAGAAAGTACTTCTACATTCTCTACTCTCATAAGAATGTAATATGAGATAGCCACTTTAGATGTGAGTTTGGAAATTTTCCAGAAGATTAAACATATATCTGCCATACAACCTAGCAATTACCCTACTATATATTTACCCAAGAGAAATGGAAACACAAGTCCACACAAAAATCTGCATGCAGACATTATAGCAGCTTTTATCAGAATAGAGAGAAACTAGAAAGCTCCAAATGTCTATCAACTGCTGAGTGGATAAACCACTGTAATATAGATCCATACCATGAAATAAATCATTTAGCAATAGAAAGGGTGCACTAATGATACACACAACAATGTGGGTGAGTCTCACAAGCATTGTGCTACGAGAAAGAAGCTAGATACAAAAGACCACAGACTACATGGTTTCACTTATGTAGCATTCTAAACAAAACAAAACAAAACAAAAAATAGTGACAAAGGGAGCTGAGGGACATCTGAGGTGACAGAAATGTTCTGTGTCTTATTGAAGTGGGGTCACATGACTCTATATACATTTATCAAAACTCATCCATTGTCCACTTATGAGCTGTCTTCAAAAAATATAGTGACTGTTTAAGTTACAGTAAGACATATTTGCCATTAATCATAAATGTATCTAGTGCAATGTCATAATTACCTCCATGTCCTCAAACAATTCAAAACATTTACCTTTCCTGGTCACCTGCATTTAGGGGAATAGCTAGAAGTTACATGGTACAAGATCTGGTAAATAAGGTAGATGAAGAGCACCATGTTTATATGAACCTGCCTTTCCATTGGATGGCACTCAACAGTAGCCTTCTCTATAATTTTGATCACACTTTGAAAAGACATTCATGAAAGAGGACTCCAAGAATTGCTTCAGAATGTGGCAAGAACAATAGAATAAGTGTATTTGAAGTGAAGGGTGATATTTTGAGGGGGATAAATGGCATTGTGTCTTTTACTGTAAGACATTTTTAAAATGTAAAATTCACTGTATATTTTGATCTCACCTCAATCTGTGGAATTTTCAGAATGTCTCTGTATTTCTTCTCTATTGCCAAGGCAAGGAACACAAGGTTTTACCATGATAATATTGAGACCTAGAGGAATGAGATGTGGTGGGAGACAGCTGGAACTGGGTAGATATAGTACTTTCATAACATACCTGCTACAAGGCAAGATGAACAGAACTGTGATTTGAGGACCCCAGACATCATCAATCTGGTACTTGTTAGAAAAGAATCTCATGTTCCATCTAAATCTACTGAATTCAGAATCTGTGTCTGAACAAGGTCTCCAGGTGATTCCTATGCACTTTAAGGTCTTATAAGCACTGATTTAGAAAGCCATGTTTTAGGAAAATTCCCAGGGCAGGGATATGCAAGGTGCACTGAGTGGAAACTGCCTGAAAGTCTGGAAAGTCTTATAAGAACATTTAAAAAGTTCAGGCATTGCTTTAAGATCTGAATTATGGTGCGGGGAGAGCAAATGAAAAAGAAAGAAACTGAAATGGGAAGCGCTAATTGGAAAAAAAAAATCAATGGAATCTGGTAGCAGAGTGGATGGAGAAGGGTACAGAAGGATGTCAGAATATAAATCAATTATAGATGCTCCTTGACTTATGATGGGGTGTTGCCCCCCAAACCCCAGCCAACACCAAAAATACCCTAAGTGGAAAATGCACACACCTAATCTACAAACATCCTCGCTTGGCAACACAGTGCACTCCAAGATACCACTTGCTCACCCTCCAGACTGGGCTCGCTGGGGACTCTCAGATGCTGCTGCCACCCAGCATCATGAGAGAGAGTTGTCTACTGCATATCACTAGCCGAGAAAAAGATCAAACTCAAAAATTCAAAATAGACTTTCTACTGGTGTATTGCTTTTGCACCTCCAAAAAGTAAAAATACAAAAACAAAAACACCTCAAACCATTGAAAGTTGGGGACCATCTGCATTTCTAATACAACTGGAAGTGGTTCCTGAACTTGGGCATAAATTATTGTCATCACATGGGAACTTGAGGCAACACCGAGCCTGGGATCCAATCCCAGAGATGGTGATTTAAGGCTGAGCATTAAATTAGAATTTTTAAATGCTTCCCAGGTGATTCTAGGTGATTGTAGTATGGCTAAGAACTATAAATCTTAAATATTTTCTTTTGGTACTGGGGAACCAACTTGGGACCTTGCACTTTTGAGGCAGGTGGCGGCACCATTGAGCTAAATCTCTGGCCCCAAAAACTATAACTCTTACAGTCTATTTGCTTTCACTAAGAGTAGTGATTCTCAACGTTGGTTATACTTTATAATTATTTGAGAGAGCTTTAAATACATGACAGCATTCTGATCCGATCCTTAGATATTCTAAATTAATTAGTATTGATGTTTAAGTTTAATGCCACCTTGCCTGGGTTCAGGGATATCCAGGCTCCTGGAAAATGTTATTTCAGGGTGGGTCTGTGAAGGCAGTTGAGGAAGGAAACAGCATTTGCCAGTAGAGAGAGGAAATGATCCTCTGATGGGCAGGCATTATCCAATTATCCAATCTATTCAGTACCAGGATAGAACAAAAAGGCAGAGGAACAGAAAAAGTTCCCTCTCTTTTAAAGTGGAGATGTCTATTTTTCCCTCCCACCTCAACGTCAGAACCCTGGTTCTTGGGCCTTTGCACCCTTGAACCCAGTTGCTGCTTGGATGCCAGCAGTTCCTCAGTTTCTCAGACTTGAGGGCTCGAAATAAAATTACACCACCCAGTTTCCTGGTTCTTCAGATTGAAAACAGAATATCATACAGGGAATTCCCATAATAAATCCCCTCATATATTTATACACATCCTCTGAGATCTAATTCTCTGGAGAACCCTAATACAACTGGTAATTTATTAGAATTCCCCAGTTGGTCATAATGTGCAGTCAGAGTTGAGAATGCAAATTCATTCAGTTTAATTGATATTTTATTAATTATTTTATCTCAAATAAGTGTAAAATGAAGAAGGAACTCAGTAGTAGCAGAATCTAAATCTTCTAATTAGATGAAATAGAAATGAAGATATTTTCATTTTGTTACAATTTCACACTGAAATTTACACAGTTAGAATTAGCTATCATTTCTTTTTTATGATTTTAAAATTTTTATTGTTGGTGTATGTTTATGATACATCATAATTACGTTCATGTTGGGGCACTGGCAAATATACATATTGCATCTTGATCACATGACTTCCTCTTACTCCCACACTTCCGTTCTCCCTTTCTTGTCTCCACAAATCTAGCTCCTGGTTTCCTACCATGTCTTTTATTTTGCTCCTTATTTATATTTTCAGTTTCTCATATAAGAGAAAACGTGATACTTATCTTTGTTGGTGTTAGAGATTGAACCTAGGGCCTTCACACTGGACTACAGACTCAGTCTTTTTTATTTTTTGTGATGGGGGTCTCACTAAGCCACTAAATTACCCAGGCTAGGTTCAAACTTAGGATCCTCCTGCCTCATTCTCCAATTGGCTATAATTTCTATTTTTCAAAATTTTAGTTTGAATGCAAAGAAATCAAGTGATGATCATTACAACTGGTTGATCGTTTATAAAATGAGTCAGATACTTAAAATATAATGTGAAATAAACTGATTCTAATCACAACCATAATTATATATCTTAAAAGAATAAGGCAGGGGAATAGAGGAGGTAGGAAATGACATGCATAAAACTTGTTCTAAGACGAAGATCAGGATTCAGCCCCATAAAGTACATAAAAAAATCAAGCAGAACATTTAAATTATTTATATGCTAATTTAAAAGCCAACTAGTCATTGTAGTATGATTTCATATTATGTGCAAAGTAAAAACAATTTTTTCCAGAAAGAAAACAATATTTCCAAATGACCTTTTATAACATGAAAAATTGGCTTACCTCTTCCCTGTGATTCTTAATTGGCATACAAAGAATACTCTGGGTCTTGTAACCTGTAATTTGGTCAACTTCTGCATTGAACCGAGGATCCTAGTAATGAAAAAGAAATTTAATGCAATGACTGACCTGCACAAAGATCAATTTAATCTTTCTAATTTATTAGATTACAGAAATTTAACCTTTGACCTAAATTGTTACTCTATCAATTTTAGCATTACGAAAGGCATTAAATCATGTAAGTGCATATCATCTTTGACAAAAACACAGCTAAGGTTTTAGCAGCTATGTTTGAGGAACAAATAAAAACCCCCAAGCCAGACTTGAACAAACATTAAAAAATAAAAGACATCGAAGATATTAACTAATTAGAGAATCTGACAATTTAAGGAAAAATGGTATTTTTCAAATTTTGAGGTACAATTTGCCTGTTCCCATCTATCTCACTTCCTGATTTTACTGTCATCCTTGGAAAACAAACTCTGTTCTAAAACATTTTCTAAAAACCTACCACTTCCAAGTCACCTTTCCAGTAAATGGCTTCCTTTGTAATTGTTTTGGTTTTCCTCAGTATTCTGTACCTGAAGTAGAATCTCAAGTTTTCATAAGAATTCTTTTTGTTTGTATAAAAAAGCTGCATAGACTTAGTCTGTAAGCAATTACTTAATCTTTTGAATCTCTGCTCTTTTTTGCAAAGCACATTATAAAGAATCACAAACGACTTTCGAAATGTAAAAAGTTCTAAATGTGGGTTGCAGAAAGGTACAAGGCAATTTTCAATTGAACTTTAGATTAGGAAGATCTAAAATTAGGCTATAAACTCTATGAGTTTTAAATTAATTAGTGTATCTCCATACTTAGTTTTTGTTAAAATAAATGAGTATCACAGTTATCAAAAGTGATCATTTTAGCTTATTACCCTGTAGTGTAAAGCAAAACTTGTCAGGCAAGAGTGAAACTACAGTGAAGAAAATCAACAGATACAAATACATGATGTAAAGTTAGAAAGGAAACAGACATTCTAGAACATAAACATCTGAATGAGTGTTGCTCTCTTTAAAGCAATAGCCTTGGGAATTTACACACCCAATCTAAGAATAGCATCACTGCTCCAAAACCGTTGCATTTGGAAATCCTTCCAGAGAATATGGAATATCCACACTGGAAAATCGTCATCTTTGAAGGTCATTTCTATTTTTTCATTAAATTAGTTTAAAGTCATGCAAAGCCAAAGCTGTGAATGAAGTAGGTGATTACATTAAATTCCATCAAATGGGGTCAGAAATGAGGCCAATTTTCCCTTGAGAAGGCCAAACTTGGCTTTAAAGATATTTTCAGGAGAAAAGTTATAAAATGGTGGAAAATCAGCATAAATATTTTATATTACAAATACTACAGCATTTTTGCCTTTTCTGCAAACATACTCAAGGTTATATTAATTGAGATACACAGAAGGCCATAAATGTTTCTAGTAAAATAGTTCTTGTTTTATCTTTAGATATTTAGGAATTTTATCTTTAGATTTCAAGGAAAATAGATAGGATTCTGATAACTGATGAATTAAAGCCGCAAAAAATTACTGTCAAATAGTGAATTATTTCACAAACTAATAAGTCAAAGTGTGAATAAAAATGCACCTCCTGAAATTAACATACTAATTAATATTAGAATTACAAGGCTAGTTTATAAAGAAGAGGATTTAATCCAACTAGCTAATTAAAGCAATAATTTGACAGATGGAAATTAGTAGGACTTCATAGCTTTTTTGGTGTCAATTATTAGACTGAAATCAATAGCAACCTTGGATGTCACTCTTCATTGAAGTGAGTGGGAATGAATATACCCTTCAAATGAACTTTAAGTGAAGGGCCACCTCAGTGTTTCCTTTAATAATGTAGTCAGTGCAAAGGCAGTGAGTAAGCAGAGAACGACTCCACACTTCAGGTCCAAGACACATCAAAGAAAAACTGGAACACTATTGTTACTGCAATTATTGCTTTCACTGTTTATGAGAACATGACAGTACGAAAAAACACAGGGACTGGCTATCACTTGCAAAAACAAAGTAACTTACTGGACTCACCTCCCTCGGAAGGTAACCATAAGTCTAGACACAGACACAGACAAGAGAGGGGAAAGATACACACTTACTATGGGACACTCTGGGTTTTTGCCTTAAGTACTTTCTGTTTGGAAAGGCAGGTGCCACCCATATAGAGCAATAGTTTCAAAAAAGAACTGAAAGGAATCAACATAGAAATGCTATGTTAGGGCAGTCAGAGGAGATTGGTAGGGGAGGGCTGCAGAAGACTGAGTGGCTGTTCACTTTGGATATGTACAGATCAAAATTCTGAGAGGATTAGCAAAATTAGCTGCTGAACTCTGAAAGCTGAATAGCGATACCAGGTGGGGAAGTGTATCAGGAGTTGAGAATGCACTAAGTCCTACAGACATTCCAACTGACACAAGAAAAGGCCATTTCTTAGGAGTAAGGACTACATCTGACAGGTGAGGATACTCCTAAGACTAAATTTGAAATTGAAATACATCCACAATAACACAGTAATACTGAGCTTGAGAGGATTAAAAGGATCTGCCAGTAATTTTACTGCCTGCCAGAACAAATCTCATTCCACAGTAAAATATACATAGTGTCTAATATACAATAAAAAATTACTATACATGTGAAGAAATAGGAAAATGCAACTAACAGTGAAGAGAAAAAGTAGTAAATAGAAAATGACCACAAGATGATTCAAATGTTGGCATTAACAGACAGAGACTTTAAAGCTACTATTCCAAATGTATTTAAAGACATAAAGGAAAATCTAACAATAATAAACAGATGCGAATCTCTCCAAAGAAACAGCTAAATGGAAATTGTGGAACACAATGTATTAAATGAAAAGTTCATTGATAAGTTTAACAGCAGACTGGAAATAGCCAAAGGGGAGAGATCAGTGAATATAACAAGAAGGACCACCTATTCAGATAAAAGACTGAGAAGGGGAAAGAAAACATGAAACATTAACAGTGTTGGTGCTTTCTTGGACAATATCAAATGGTTAATATATAAAGTATGTAACTGGAGTCTCAAAGAGAATTGAGTTAAGGAATACTTAAAGATATATTACAAAAAATTTGCCAAAGTTGATGACAACTTTAAACTTACACACCTGGTGTGAAAACAATAACAGGGTGAAGCATACAAAGTGAAAATGATACAAAGAAGAGCTGAACTCTCAAGAAAAAAATGAAGACTAAAAAAAGGGGGGACTCTTAAAATGTTGAAATTAAACTACTATCAACTGAGAATTGTCTATGCAGTGAAAATAGCCTTCAAAAATAAAGGCAAAATAAAGCAATTTTAATAAACTAAAATTTCAAGGATTTGTCATGATCAGACATAAGAAGTGTTAAGGGCAGTTTTATCATCTGCAGGGAGGGATACCTACAGAATAAAGAGCTAAGAACTTGGCTTGAACACATGCAGCACTATATAAACAATAAGGAAGCCTAATTCTTCATTGTGGAGAAGTAAATACCAAGTAGAGAAAAGAAGAAAAATAATGCACTTTGAGGTGCTGCATTGAAATTGCAAGAATCAGCATAAACCCAATGTTTTAAAGATATTAAGCAGATAGACATAGAATATAGGTGTGGGTGGACATTTATACATTTTTCCTAGTTCTGGCTGCTCACACCAATAGAAATGAACACAAACCAAAAGTAATGAGCATATCTAGTTTCCATTCTTGATTTCTAAATATTCTTCCCTCCACTAAAAAGAACCAGGGCTCCTTGGCAAAAAGAATGATTGCAGAGTGGCACAGAACACGCCGAATCAGCCCGCTGCAGACAGGCAAGTCTGTGCACACCCTACCGAGGTCCCGAGTCGTGCGGAAGACACCAAATCACCCCGCTGCAGACAGGCAGGTCTGCTCATGCCCTACAGAGGTCCTGAATCGCAAGGAATATGCAGAATCAGCCTGCTGCAGACAGGCAGGTCGGTGCACGCCCTACCGAGGTCCTGAGTCGTGCGGAGGATGCCAAATCACCCCGCTGCAGACAGGCAGCCACCTGGTTCCACACTACAAAGACGCAAAGGACACCAGACCACCAGACCAAGGTACTGAGTCCCGCTGCTCCCGGCCCAGAGGTAGGGGCTTCTGAGCCACCGCTGCTCCTGGTCAAGAAGGGGCTTCCCGGTCACCATCCCTCCCACTGCTCCCAGCCCAGAGGAAAGGGCTTTTGCGCCACCTTCTGTCCTGCTGCTCCTGGCCCAGAGGAAGGGGCTTCCCGGCCACCATCCCTCCCGCTGCTCCCAGCCTACAGGAAAGGGCTTTTGGTCACCATCCCTACCGCTGCTCCCGGCCCCGTCCCACCTCACCCAGCTCAGAGGAGGTAATCCATGCAGGTGCTAACAGCCCCCCACCCCAGTCGAAATGAGAAACCACATAAATAAGTCTCAAAACCAGACTTCCAGATCACCTACAGCAACCACAAAGGGAAATGAGATGGAACACTCTGATACTCAAACACCTGGACCCACTGAGCTGGCAACAAAAGGGGATCTAGAAAAAATGAAATCAGA